AGACCTTGAGAGAAGCAGGGCACATCTGGATGGACAGAGGAGCATTGCTTATTTGAATAAGCATACGTTTATGTTCATGTGTATTGGGAAAATATAATTAGCATATCAAACATGTGATTTCATGGAGGTTATTGCTTAGGATAAAGCCACGTTTACTGAGTGAAAGGATTTAAAGGAAAATACTAGGATGAGAGTAGAGAAGGTAAGAACCAGGATGACCCGTTTCTGGCTTGAGGAGCTCCCCATTGGATGACAGCCCAGTGTGATCAGAAAGATGGGGATGCGCAGTGTTGTGGGGGCCGGAGCAGGCAGGACCTCTCTGGAGGGGACTGGAAGGCTTCCCAGAGGAGGAGACATTTGAACCGAGGCCCAAAGGATGACCAGAAGTCAGCCAGTGCAAGAGTGTTGTAGGCAGAGGGGTCAGCCTGAAACTCCAGTTCTTGGGGGGCAGGGCGGAGGAGTAGGGTGTGCATGAGGTGGGCTGCTGGCAGCTCCGGAGGCAGAACATGGAGGCTTAGGTGGGGCAGCCGATGGAATGTCACCTGTTTCCGTTTCACGGGGAATCATTGTACTTGGGGTTGGGTTTGAGGGTTTTCTTTGGAAACTCAGGAGTGTGCAAGGCCCGTATGTTTGAATCGGTGGAGAATGAAGAAGGAGAGGACAGGGGAGGACAAGAAGTCCCCTGGGCAGCGGAAGTTGTACCAGAACCTCCGTGTCCATGTGGTGTCTGGTATGTGCCAAGGGTGTCTGGTATGTGCTTTCTCCGTTTGCCTCTCACTAGATTTCAACCACTTATGTGCCCGGAAGAAGTCCCTGTTCCGCCATGTAGGCTCCAATACCGGCTCTGCCACTTACTAGCTGTGTGATTTCCCGTTCCTCAGTTTGTGTGCCTGTAAAATGGGATAAACGTAAAGCCTGCCTCCTGGGGCTGTTGTCAGGACTAAATGAGTTAAAGCAATTAAAGCACTTCGAGGGTGCCTGACCACCAGCAAGTGTACAATAAGCATTTACTATTACTGTGGTTTGATATGATCTTCCTTCTAACTTGATTTCAAGTATTTAAACATCATTTATCTAATGCTTGTTCTATGTCAAGCCTTGTATTTATCCCCTGAATCAACGAATGATACGATCCAGTCCTCCTGGGAGTACAGAAACTTCAGTAAAGCAGGAACCAACATTGGTAAAATGTGGCCAGTGCCAGGGACCCAGAAACGCAAGGAGAGCTGACTCCTGTCCTTGGGGAGATCACAGGCTGACTAGGGAGAGAGGCAAGTGGCCCAAACTGGGGAGAGGAGTCCAGAGAAGCTCTGCGGAGGGGCTGTGGAGAGACAAGGAGGGCCCTTTTTGGTCATGGGTGAGACAGGATGAGAAAGGACCCCCTTTGGAGGGGAGGTCAGGGATGCCTGGGCTCCATCTATACTGTTTGAGTGTTGAGAAGTCATCAGGGGGTTTTGAGCAGGGAATTGTGTTTGAATCAAAGCAACATAACTAAGTTATTATGCAACTACTGTATACTACCTGCTGTGCATACACAATCTTACCTAATGCAATTCTCACCAAAACACTGGGAAGTGAGGACCGTCACCATACCCGTTTTACAGATGAAGAAACTGGGCCACAAAGGTTAGGTTGAGTTGCTCAAGGTAGCAAGGAAGGGAAAGAACAGGCTTAAACCCAGGCAGTCCAACCCAGACCTCATGCTCTTAATCTCTCTACCTTGCTGCCTGTAAACTTCAATCTACATCATTATCGTAAAACTAGAACGAGCTGAAACCGGTTTGGCTCGGCGGATAGAGAGTCGGCCTGAGGACTGAAAGGTCGCAGGTTCGATTCCGGTCAAGAACATGTACTTTGGTTGCGGGCACATCCCCAGTGGGGGGCATGCAAGAGGCAGCTGATCGATAATTCTCTCTCATCGATGTTTCTAACTCTCTATCCCTCTCTGTAAAAAATCAATTAAAAAAACAAAAAACTAGAACGAACCTTGGAAATATCTGTTACCCCCATTTTGCAGATGAGAAACTGAGGTTCAAAGATGGGGATTAACCTTCCTAAGACCACAGACTGCAGGAGGGGCTGCGCTGGGAAGGTCAGTCTGGCCTGCAGGAGGGGCTTCATCCTACACTCCACAGTCCCAGGCGTCCTGCCGTCCCAGCAGGCATCCCTGTGCTTAGAACAAAATCCAAACTCCTTGCTGGGGCCTGTAGAGCCTTCATGCGATCAGGCCTTGCTGCATCCCTCTGACCTCACCTGGTCACCACCCTCTCCTCACCACCAGGCTCCAGCCCACCTCACGGCCTCTACACTGCTGTTCCCTCGGACAGGAATGCCTTTCCACCTGATTACCAGGTGGTTGGGCTCTGACTTAGTCTGATTGGGCTGCCATAAAAAAATGCCATAGCCGAAACCGATTTGGCTCAGTGGATAGAGCGTTGGTCTGCGGACTGAAAGGTCCCAGGTTCAATTCCGGTCAAGAGCATGTACCTTGGTTGTGGGCACATCCCTGGTAGGGGTTTGCAGGAGGCAGCTGGTCGATGTTTTTCTCTCATCAACGTTTCTAGCTCTCTATCCCTCTCCCTTCCTCTCTGTAAAAAAAATCAATAAAATATATTTTTAAAATGCCATAGACTGGCTTACAAACAACAGACATTTAATTCTCACATTTCTGGAGGATGGGAAGTCAAAGATCAAGGTGCCTGCAGACTTGGTGTCTGGTGAGAACCCAATTCCTTGTTCACAGACAGCCCCCTTCTTACTGTGTTCTCCTTGTGGAAGAGGCCGGAGGTCTCTCTGGGTCTCTTTTGTAAAAGCACTAACCCCTTTCATGTCCTAGTGCCTCCCAAAGACCCCATCTCCATATGCCCTCATATGGAAACCCCTTTCACATCCTACATGGCTCAGGGTTCCGGTTCAGGGTTCAGGGTTCGGGTTCTGAAGAAGGGCCGCAAGCAAGTTAAAAGAGACTAGAAGAAATTTAACTTGGCGATATGGGGGCCAGGTGGGAGCCCACCTCTAGTGGGAGGACTGCCGCTAGGCTCTGGGCTTGCTATCCCTTTTATTGAGACTATGGGATACACCCATTACCCTTAAACAGGTTTGGGATGCACCCATAGGTACTTAGCGGATTATCATATCAGTAAGGATTTACATGATTACAAGATGGGGAAGTTGCCTCAATTACCAAAGTCTCAATTAGATAGGGAGTGGTTGGCTCTGAGCTTTCAGAGCTTCAAGATTGACCAGCCTTTTACATCTTTCTTTCTTTTTTTTAAAATATATTTTATTGATTTTTTCACAGAGAGGAAGGGAGAGAGATAGAGAGCTAGAAACGTCGATGAGAGAGAAACATCGACCAGCTGCCTCTTGCACACCCCCCACTGGGGATGTGCCCGCAGCCAAGGTACATGCCCTTGACCCGAATCGAACCTGGGACCCTTCAGTCCGCAGACCGACGCTCTACCACTGAGCCAAACCGGTTTCGGCTACATCTTTCTATTAGTGAGATGATGATCGGTTTCTGGCACCCTGACACTGAGAATTAGGTTTCCACAGATGCATTTGGGGGAGGACACAAACATCCAACCTACAGCAGGCTTGCCATTCAGTGAGATGTTCCTCCTCAGAGGGGTCTGCCCTGATCACCTCTCACACAACCATGTTTTGTTTTTTTCATAGCAGTTACAATGGTCTGAAATTACCTTTTTTGTTTTCTTGCTTTTGTGTCTGCCTCTCCCCACTAAAATGTCAGCTACAGGAGAGAAAGGAGGGACCTTATATATGTCTACACTGTATCCCCAGACAATGCTTGGCACATAGTAAGTGCTGCACATGTTTTTGTTGAAATCATACCTGTATTTCATTGTCTGCTGATGGTCTGTCTCCCCACCAGTCAGAGAGCTCACAGGGGCTGGGACCATGTCTTACTCACCTTGGCACCACCTCTAGGCCCAAGACAGGGTTGGCACAGAGCAGGCCTGGGATATGTTTGTTGCATGACTGAATGAACAAGGGCAGAAGGGGTAATGGCATGAATACCTGCTGGGCTCCCTGTGGGGTGGCCACAGCCATGGTCCCTGCCCTTCTCTATCACAGCAAGGTCTACCCTGATGTCCCTTCTGATTGTCTACCCTCTGCCTCATACCCTGGAGAGTGTCAAATGAGGATGAATGATGAAGTCTGTGCTCCAGATCCTCCTTGGCCATGGTCACATGAGCAGGTAACTTGCACAGATGTACTGTACACACGGGCATACTCACCAGCTTCACGGAGTGTCATGTCCGGGTTGGAGCTGGTGAGGCACGCGGAGGTGCAGCCCCACTCCTTTCCCTTCTTCCTGACAGCGCACATCCTGATACCCAAACTCCTCTGCACCACCACCTCAGCCCCACATGCCCCCTGCACTGGCCTGTGCATGTGGGAACGCATCTCCCCTCACGCCCAGATGCGCTCCAGGCTTCCCTCAGCCTCCTCCCAGCCTGCCACCTCCTCCAGGCAGCCTGCCACCTCCTCCAGGCAGCCTGCCACCTCCTCCAGGCAGCCTGCCACCTCCTCCAGGCAGCCCGCGCTGCTTCCTCCGAACTACCTGCCACCTCCGGGAGCAGTGGCCTCATCTGGCTCACCCCAGCCTCTGCGGCGCCCCGCACGCGGCCTCAGCAGGGTCCCCCAGAGCCTGCCTAGGAGGGAGGATGGACCCACAGGAGGGCGGAGGGAGAGGTGGCCGCAGCCGGACGGCCGCGGGGCGGGCGGAGGCGGGGGCGCGCGCGCCGGAGGCGGCGGCGGCGGAGGCCGGGACCGCGCGCCCCGCCTGAGCCCGCCCAGCCGCCGAGCGTCACGGAACCTGCTTGAAATGCAGCCGAGGAGCCGGGCGGGCGGCGGCGGCGGCATCGGCAGCGGCAGCGGCAGCCCCGGCGCCGCGGCAGGAGCTCGGGGAGCTGAAGCGCGGCTGCGGCGGCGATACGGGGTGCGCGGGGCGCCGCGGCCGGAGCCCGGGGCCCGCCATGGGCCGCCCCGGAGGGGGCGCGCTCCGGCCGCCGGCGCTGCTGCTGCTGCTGCTGCTGCCGCTGCGGCTCCAGCCTCTCGCGGCGGCGGCGGCGGCGGCGGCGGCGGATCCCCCACGCGGAAGCCAAGGTACATGCGGCCGGTCCCGGGCCGGGCTCTGCGCCGCCGGGGCCGCCAACAAAGCGCGGCCTGGTGGCCGGGGCTTGGGCTGCACCGGGGCCACCCAGCCGGGCCTGGCAGAGGCGCCCGGCGGGCGAGGCTGCTCTGGACCCATTGATCTTCCCATCGGCCCCCGCCCCCGCGGCTCCCTGCGTTGGGGGCTCTGCCCTGGGCACCTGCTCTCGGGGGAGGGACGCAGGGGGGCCCGGCGGGCCGGGAACTTGGCGGGGGGGGCGGGTAGTCATTGACGGTTTGGGGTGAGCTGTACGATTCTTGTCGTGGACACGCGCTCCGTGGCGGCGGTGAGCGGAGCCGGGCGACCTCCCCGCCTGACAATGCGTTTCCGGGGACCCCGCGCGCCGCCGCCGAGCCAGAGGGGCTGCGAGCAGGAGGGGCCTGTGCCCGCAGCGCCCCTGCGTGGGTCTCGGCGTGTTTGGGGGGCTCCCTGTGGGGTGTGTCTGCGTGGATCCCTGACTGTGGGCCGAGTGGGACTGCATGGAGGGTCCCTAAGCTGTCTGACACCGGCTGTGCGCGCTGGCCTCGCCGTGCCACGGAGCGGCCTGCCATCCCAGGACTCCTGCTCCCCTCCGTCCGGATCGAGGGTGCCCGAGGCCCCCGCGGCTGCTGCCTCGCCCCCTCTCCTCCGCCGCAGGAGACCCTGCCCCCCGCCGGGACTGCAGGGTCCGCGGTCCGTCTCACACCCCCGTCTCCCGCGCAGGGCTGGCCACGGAGTGCGAGGAGGACCAGTTCCGGTGCCGGAACGGGCGCTGCATCCCCTCCGTGTGGCGGTGCGACGAGGACGACGACTGCGCGGACAACAGCGACGAGGACGGCTGCCGTGAGTGGCCGGCGGGGAGGGCGGGCGGCGGGGCGCCATGCTCCGCGCGCACGTGGCTCCGGTGCCGCCGCGGGCCACCTGCGGGGACCGCGCCCCGGCGGCCGGGCAGCCCGGGCACCGCCTCCCGGGGCTGCGGGCTGAGCCGTCCCGCCGGGAGCTGGATGGGGCCGGGGCGGAGCCCGGGCGCCGGGGCCCGGGAGGAGGGCACGCCCTGCCCGGTGGCTGAGCCGGAACTGAGGGCGAGGACGCGGCTGTCCCCGCGCGGGTCCCGCTTCCGAGGCACCGGCCGGCCTCCGGGGCTCCGGCCTCTGCTCCGGGAACGCGCGGCTTTTTCAAAGTTGCGCTCCGCTCCCGGCCTCGCCGCACTCCTTATGTTCTCGTTTCTTTTTTTATGAATGAATGGGCTCCCCGGGGCCCCTGATTGGCTGGGCCAAGACCACCCCATAGGCATAGGCCCCCGTGGTCTGAGCAGCCAATCGTGGTGAGAAAGGGTGTGTGGTTTTCGGGGTGCCCGGGGCGCAGGGGCCTTGCCCGGGCCCCGCCTTGGCCACACCCCCACGCTCACAGGCGGACCCAGAGCTAAAGCCCGCTGGTTTTCTGCCTCCTCACAGGGAAGCCCTTTTGTGCCACCCTCGGTAGCCGACCTGGATCTCCAGGCAGACCGCCTGGACATGAGTCATGGTATAACCAGACAGCCATTGGGGTCTGGGCTGCCTGTCACTACAAGAGCCAGTTAAGCAGAGACAGGATTGAATCATATATGAGCGGGTTTTTTTTCAATAATGCAGGCAGGATGGGAGAGCAGCAGGTCGTCCACAAAAATCTGCTCTCCCCTCCTCAGAAGGCAGCTGCTTATATTGGGTAGAAGGACACAGATTACAGGCCTGGGAAAGGAGGTAAGGTATAATGGTTATAGGTTATAGGCTTTTGCAATAGAGCCTAGGGGTTGCAAAGGACAGGTACCTCCCGGACTAGATTGTTTCAGCTATAGGAGGTTGTAAGTCTTTCCATAACGGTAGCAGATCTTGGGAAAGGAGGATGGACTGCATTCCCATGTTATCTCCCGTGTCCCAGGGTGCACCGCTCTCACCTAGGTTAGAATGCGCTTCCTCTCATTAGAACAGAACCATCATGGTTAACAGAATGTGATTAATATTTCTTATCATTGTAGCTAGTCCCCAATATTCTGTTTCTGCCCCTAACCATGGGGCAGACTGGGAAGGAGGGAGCCAGGAGGAGGAGTCTGTTTCCTGGAAGGGGCCGGAGGATCCCGGGGCTGCTGGTGAATCCGGCCGTGAGTTGGCTGCCGGTGATCTTTTCTGAGTTTGGTGTTTGTACACTGGGGGCAGCTGCTCTGGGAGTTCCTTCTCGGGGTGCACGCGGTTTCAGAGGTCTGTGGGACCAGAAGTGAGTTAGCAGGCAGTCGCTACGGTGGAGGGTAGTTCCAGGAACAGGAAAAAACAGGATTTATAGAAACAGAATCGGGTGGCCATTCATTCTCTGTTACTGGTGCCCACGTGGGCAGGCACCGGGGCACTAGGAGAGCAGGCCCACCCCACTGGCCAGGGGAACAGGATCTGCGGGAGGAGAGCAGTGGGTAGACAGACCCTCAGCTCCACACGGTGGCAGGGATAGGGTGGATGGGGTAGAGGGAACACCTGGACAGGCACGATCTGTGGAGTCCTCAAGGTTTTATTTTGTTTTTTAAATCCTCACATGTTCATTGATTTTTAGAAAGAGGGGTTACATGTTTATTGATTTTTAGAGAGAGAGGTTGGAAGGTAGGGAGAGAGAAACATGAATGTGAGAGAGGAATATCAATCGGTTTCGACCCTAACTTGCCCCAACCAGGGATAGAACCTGCAATCTAGGTATGTGCTCTGACGGGGAATCGAACCCATGGCCTCCTGATGTATGGGATGATGCTGCAACCCACCTAGCACACCGGCCAGGGCAAGGTTTTTGTGTGTTTGTTTTTAAAGTGGGTTTGCCAGTCAGCCTCTGGGTTCATTTTCTCTGATCCAACCCACAGTTGGCTCTGGGACTAGGGCACAGCTTTTCCTCCTGGCTCAGTTTCTTTACCTGACCACCTGGGCTAATGATTCCTGCTCTGTTTTTTTGTTTTGTTTTTTAATATATTTTAAAAATTGATTTCAGAGAGGAAGGGAGAGGGAGAAAGAGATAGAAACATCAATGGTGAGTCATTGATCCCCTGCCTGGCCCCCACAGGGGATTGAGCCCACAACCTGGCCATGTGCCCTGACCGGGAATCGAACAGCGACCTCCTGGTTCATAGGTCGACTGAGCCACGCCAGCTGGGCCCCTGCTCTGGTTTTGAGGACCAGATCTAATAATGTAACTGGAAGTAATGAGACTAACTCGCTGACCATTAGCTGTGTGCCAACTACTGAGGCTGTGCTTATATAAACTCCTTTAATCTTCAGATTAGTCCTGTTTTACAGACTATACAAACAGAGGTGCTGAGAGATGAAGTTACTTGCCCCACAGCTACTGAGTTACTAAGCAGGAGCTTGAATTTAAGCATCTGACTCCAGGGTTCTTAGGCTAATCATGACTCGACCATTATCCTCTGCTATTGAAGTTATGAATATGGCTGAGCTGGGGTAAAATATTATGAATCTCATCGTAGGGAGTTGTTCTCTATGGTCCCTTTACAGCTGAGGATGAGGCAAGGAAATAAAAATTACATTTCTGACCGTGGCCAGGTGGCTCAGTGGTTGGAGCATCCTCCTGTTCACCAGAAAGTTTTGGTTTCAATTCCCCATCAGGGCACATACAGAGGTTTTGGGTTCAACCCTGGGTTGAGGCAAGGATGGGAGGCAAACAGTCGATGTTTCTCTCTCTTCCTTCCTCTTTCTCTCTAAAATAAATCAATAAAAACATATCCTCTGTTGAGGAATTTAAAAAAAAAAAAAACCTGAACAGCCCTGGCCCAGTGCTGGTTGAGTATTGTCCCATGAACCAAAAGGTCGCCAGTTTGATTCCCAGTCAGGCCACATGCCCAGATTGCAGGCTCTGTCCCATCAGTATACAACAGGAGGCAGCTGATGTTTCTCAGATCAAAGTTTCTCTCTCTCCCTCTCCCTTCCTCTCTCTCTAAAATCAATGAAAACAAACAAACAAAAACAAAACAAAAAAACTCCTGTGTTTCTGGTCTGGTTATACCTTATCTCCCTGATTCTTTCTAATAGCAGTCTTCCAAGAGTGAAGAGCAGACCTTTTTCTTATCCTGTTTGTAGGTAAGGGTCTGGCTCAGAGAAGTTGAGTGACTTGCCCAAGGTCACACAGCAGACAATGACAGAACTTGGTCCAGATGTCCACCTGCCTCCCAGCTCTGGGGCGCTATTTGCTGGGGGTGGGGATGGAGGGGGGAAGGATCTGGGAAGGTGACCCAGGTGTTTGAAACCCATACTCTGAGCGCTGAGCCTGTTGCTTTTCATCTGAATGCGAGGCTCCGGGCAAGAGGAGTGTGAAGCAATGGTGGCTGGGTGGCCCCGGATGGGACCAGGGGAGATCTATGGCCAGTCTGGCTTCCTGACTTCATCCTGAGGTGGAGGGGGTGGAGTCCTAGGCAGAGGGGGAAGAAAAACAGATGGTGTTGGTATTTGGCAGGGGAAGTAGGGTTGGGGGCTTTGCTGTTAGCACCAAGCATCAGCTCCACACTCCTGTCTTCTCAGTTTGCTTCCTCCGAATCTGCCGAATGGGGGTAGCTGGCCCTCCACCACAGGTTATCCGTGTAAGAATGTTCCCGTAGGGCTGGCGAAGAGAAGGGGATGGATGACTGTTCACATCTGCAAGGTCTTCAGAGAGGGGCCCGGAGGAGCCACCGGAAGAAACCTTGAAGAAGGGGGAGGGGCCAGTTGTCCGAAAATGATCTTTCCTCACTTCTTCCTTCCTCCTCGGGGGATGTCTCCCCCGATTCTGGGCCAACTGCCCAAACGGCATTTCTTGGAGCTCTCCTCCCCTCCAGCCCCTTGGCTTCTTCCTGAGCAGCCTCCCTGCCTTTTAAATGGCCCCTGTCTTTGGCACTTCCACCCTTCCGCTCCAGGACAGCGGCCTCACCTGCAAAGTGGGTGTTGCAGTTTGTAAAGGAAGTCTGTGTGAGGCAAAATGAGTTCCAGCTCCCAGAGGGAGCATTGGGGGCAGCTGGGGAAGCCCAGGAAGGCTTCCTGGAGGAGGAGACAGATAGACCAGGCCTTGACAGATGGTAACTAACACCATTCCCTTAGAGCTTGCCACCTAAAAATAGGTAGTACAGTCCCCATAGTATAGAGGAGGAAGCTGGGGTCAGAGGGGTGAAATTACGCTCCCCAAGTCACAGAGCTCATGGGGGTTGGAGGTAGCTCTCAAACCAAGGCCTTCTCAGTCCTCATCCTCGGCACCGCAGTGGGACTCGGCCCTCTGGAGACAAGGCATAGAGCTGGCGGGCTGGGGAGAGGAAAGGCCCCCAGCGCTTCAGTCCCGGCTCCAAGGGCCTTCAAAGGGTAGGAAGGGGCTGGACACGGGAAGCCCAGGGTGGCCCTGCCGGGGGAAGCTGGGTGGGTCCCTGGCTGTGGACGTGGGTCACGTAGGCCCGCGGGCCCCTGGGCCCCGGTTTCCTGTTGCTCCGTCGTGTCTGGGGCAGACCTGGGGGCTCTGGGCTCTGGCCAGCCCTTTGCTCCAGGAGTAACAACAACAGCGAGCGCTCACGGAGCCCTGGCCGAGGACCAGGCTGACATTGTGCTGACATTCTATGTGCATCTGCCTCATGCTTCTTCTTCGTTTCTTTCTTTTATTAAAATATGTTTTATTGATTTTTTACATAGAGGGATAGAGAGTTAGAAACATCGATGAGAGAGAATCATCGACCAGCTGCCTCTTGCACACCCCCTACTGGGGATGTGCCCGCAACCAAGGTACATACATGTCCTTGACTGGAATCGAACCCAGGATCTTTCAGTCCGCAGGCCGATGCTCTATCCACTGAGCCAAACCGGTTT